GTCACTGTGCATTGCGCGGTCGATCAGTCGAAACACGACCCGAATTGGCGATCTGAAATGACCAAGTTTTTACGGGCGTGGCTTTAAAATGAATTCACACGATAGGATAATTATACGTACAAGATCAATATCAGTTCAGCTTTCTATTTCTCGTCGTGCAAAAATAGACACGTGGTCACTGTGCATTGCGCGGTCGACCAGTCGAAACACGACCCGAATTGGCGATCTGAAATGACCAGGTTTTTACGGGCGTGGCTTTAAAATGAATTGAGACGGTAGGATAATTATATGTACAAGATCAATATCAGTTCAGCTTTCTATTTCTCGTCGTGCAAAAATAGACACGTGGTCACTGTGCATTGCGCGGTCGACCAGTCGAAACACGACCCGAATTGGCGATCTGAAATGACCAAGTTTTTACGGGCGTGGCTTTAAAATGAATTCACACGATAGGATAATTATACGTACAAGATCAATATCAGTTCAGCTTTCTATTTCTCGTCGTGCAAAAATAGACACGTGGTCACTGTGCATTGCGCCGTCGACCAGTCGAAACACGACCCGAATTGGCGATCTGAAATGACCAGGTTTTTACGGCGTGGCTTTAAAATGAATTGAGACGATAGGATAATTATACGTACAAGATCAATATCAGTTCAGCTTTCTATCGTCGTGCAAAAATAGACACGTGGTCACTGTGCATTGCGCGGTCGACCAGTCGAAACACGACCCGAACTGGCGATCTGAAATGCGATTGATCTTGTACTTGTAAGACCAGGTTTTTACGGGCGTGGCTTTAAAATGAATTCAGACGATAGGATAACTATACGTACAAGATCAATATAAGTTCAGCTTTCTATTTCTCGTCGTGCAAAAATAGACACGTGGTCACTGTGCATTGCGCGGTCGACCAGTCGAAACACGACTCGAATTGGCGATCTGAAATGACCAGGTTTTTACGGGCGTGGCTTTAAAATGAATTGAGACGATAGGATAATTATACGTACAAGATCAATATCAGTTCAGCTTTCTATGTCTCGTCGTGCAAAAATAGACACGTGGTCACTGTGCATTGCGCGGTCGACCAGTCGAAACACGACCCGAATTGGCGATCTGAAATGACCAGGTTTTTACGGGCGTGGCTTTAAAATGAATTGAGACGATAGGATAATTATACGTACAAGATCAATATCAGTTCAGCTTTCTATTTCTCGTCGTGCAAAAATAGACACGTGGTCACTGTGCATTGCGCGGTCGACCAGTCGAAACACGACCCGAATTGGCGATCTGAAATTGCCAGGTTTTTTCTTGCGTGGCTTTAAAATGAATTCAGACGATAGGATAATTATACGTACAAGATCAATATCAGTTCAGCTTTCTATTTCTCGTCGTGCAAAAATAGACACGTGGTCACTGTGCATTGCGCAGTCGACCAGTCGAAACACGACTCGAATTGGCGATCTGAAATGACCAAGTTTTTACGGGCGTGGCTTTAAAATGAATTCACACGATAGGATAATTATACGTACAAGATCAATATCAGTTCAGCTTTCTATTTCTAGTCGTGCAAAAATAGACAGGTGGTCACTGTGCATTGCGCGGTCGACCAGTCGAAACACGACCCGAATTGGCGATCTGAAATGACCAAGTTTTTACGGGCGTGGCTTTAAAATGAATTCACACGATAGGATAATTATACGTACAAGATCAATATCAGTTCAGCTTTCTATTTCTCGTCGTGCAAAAATAGACACGTGGTCACTGTGCATTGCGCGGTCGACCAGTCGAAACACGACCCGAACTGGCGATCTGAAATGCGATTGATCTTGTACTTGTAAGACCAGGTTTTTACGGGCGTGGCTTTAAAATGAATTCACACGATAGGATAACTATACGTACAAGATCAATATCAGTTCAGCTTTCTATTTCTCGTCGTGCAAAAATAGACACGTGGTCACTGTGCATTGCGCGGTCGACCAGTCGAAACACGACCCGAATTGGTGATCTGAAATGCGATCGATCTTGTACTTATAATACCAGCTTTTTACGGGCCTGGCTTTATATGACGTAATTTGACCATCGCCGTTCTCACATTGACTTTGAGTATACATGTTTTTGAAATAAGATTTGATAATATTCTTAACTCTGATGCTTGCAGCTATATTTATAATATTGAATGACTTATGGGTAAAATGAATATTCAGACGATAAGAAAACTATATGTACATGATCAATATCAGTTCAGCTTTATATTTCTGGTCGTGCAAAAATAGACACGTGGTCACTGTGCATTGCGTGGTTGGTCAGTCGAAACACGACCCGATTTAGCGAGGTGAAATGTTATTTTCGGCCCAAATGTGGCATCAATTTCCGTACGCAATACAAAAGTATACAAAATTTGCGAACTTTGCAAGGCAATATTTTCCGCATTTTACAACATTTCGCATTTTTACTAATTTTAATGTGCTCTTTCTAGCTGTGTTGATTTATTTCAATTTATTTCAATTTATTAAAAGATACCAATTTTGCAGTTAAGAACTGAATTACACTGGTTTACATGCATACGAGTAAAATGTCTACAAACACTCCTTATTTACAAGTTGTTAATTGTAATAGTTCTAGGTAAGAATATAGCTAAAAAATTATTATTTAAAACTGGAGTTGTAGGCCTTACTACCGGCCATAATAAAACTGTTAGCAAACCTACTTGTCCTATGCTTTGGTATTGAAAGACAATTATCATTACGTAGAGAATATCCTGTTTTATGTCTTGGGGGAACGAGAGAATGGAGTTTATGGGATGATTCATCACACATTTGAGCAAAAAGTTTCTCGCAAATGGTCTTTCTCCGCAGGAACAGTAACACCACCCCAGCACGTACCAACGCATCTTCATATTTGAGATCAGGAAAGATTATACGAAGGGCTCTCCGTTGAATACTCTCGATCTCGTCGCTCAAATATTGCGCCAAGCTATAGTGCCATGCCTCGCACGAAAATTCTAAGATTGGTCGAACGCCGGTAGTAAAAACCCGGACTAACTTGCTCGCTGGTATAGAGGCTCTCTTAAGTAATCGTAAGGCATACGATCGCTTCGAAGCTTTCTTGCAGATATAATCAACGTGCTCGATCCATTCAAGATCTTTAGATATCATGACACCAAGTAATTTAGCATGCGGAACCACAACTGTATGACCGTCAATGGTGATCGGCGGAAGAGCCCCGGGATCAAGAGGAGAAAACCCAACACGAACTTCTTTTGTTTTTGTAGGGTTCAGTTTCATGTTATTCTCAGACGCCCATTTGGTAGATTCTGTAATTTGAGACGGTAGGACCGAGTTGGATTCTTGACCCTTCAAGACGATTTCCCAGATAGTGGTGTCGTCAACAAATTTCACTGTATCGTCAGAAACATTCAAGTCGTTCACCATGATGAGGAAGAGGAGGGGGCCCAGTTTGGTTCCTTGGGGGATTCCTCCGTTGGTAGTTCTCCAACTCGAAAAATTAGAGCCAATTAATTCTTGTTCTCTGACTTCTGTCGGTAAGGAAATTGGCAATCCAATTAATTAGGATAGGGTGTACGCCCATGTTAATGAGTTTCTGCATCAGAATGTTGAAATCGATACGGTCAAAAGCTTTGGAAAAGTCTAGCATATCCGTAGGCAGGCTCCAGGTGTGTCCATCGCTTCGTACCATTTATGAAGCAGGTGTATTAGCGCCATGGTGGTGTTAGATCCTTTAATTGAGCCAAATTGGAGCTTATCGATTTGGTCGCGGATTGACTGCAAGAGCCAGTTATATGGAAATAATTCCAGAATCTTACTCACTATGGGCGTGAGCGATATCGGTCGAAAATCAGAGTCAACATCCAGAGCAGGAGAAGACTTTGCTGCAGGAATGACATTTGCAGATTTCCACAGGGATGGAACACAACCATCATGAATAGAGGCATTAAATATGGATGCTAATGGGCGACACAATAACGAAGAATTATCACGGAGGAACCAAGGCGTGATTTCGTCAGGACCTGCAGCTGAAAAGGACTTGACGGATTGTAATGCTTGACGGATTGTAATTGCATCTCCTTACCTAGTTTTAAAATTAGTCTATAATGGGAATTGTCTATTTACACTCGAAAGCTCTTCTACGTTTAGTTCTACAGAGGTCTACAGAGTTCTACATTGATACCTGATATTTCTAATTCCGACACTGTAAAGAACAACAAAGAACACGTACGCCCGTATTCTTAAAGCTCACTCTAGTCACTCACACTCAATGAGTGGAGGTTCAATCTATGCTTCTCTGAGTGAAATTGCAGTTTTTGAATAGCTGGAGGGCTAGTGTCGTACCTTACCATGTACTAGTAACCCTCCAGCTATTCAAAAATAGCATTGACACTCAAGAGAAGCTCAGATTGAGCCTCCACTCATTGAGTGTTAGCGAGCTTTTAGAATACAGGCGGTAGTCTCGAGGCCGAACCGATTTACACCTTCGGATATTTATTCCGGAAACAGAGGCCTTTGAACTGGGTTAGGTCTGACACTTGTATATGACGTCACCGATTCTGTTTCCTATATTTTGTTGATCACGACATTACGTTGTAGTATTGGTACGCATTAGTACCATAGATTTGTACCACAGATTCGTACCATAGATTGGTACCACAGAAAGAATAAATATCTATTATTTCGATGATTGGTTCGCATATGTTTCTATATTCTATGATGACGTCATACACGGAAAATAAATCGGGCTTAAACGAAAAAAATCAATAAATAGCCGGAAGTTGTTCACAAACTGCTGAGCCATTATTCATTTACATATAGTATGTATATGGAAAGCCGAAGCACAGAATATTAAAGATGAGTAACAGAAGAGCCACTCAGCGGTGCAACGTGTCCTCGTTTTTTTATGCAAAAATATGCAGTTTACTGGCCAGAAGGCGGAGCAGCCAGCCAGTACAGCGTGTTTATTGGCCAGAAAATGTCATTGACAGGCTAGGAAAATGGCGGCCAACATGCGTAATGCGACATGCGCGAGGACAAAAACTTCAAAGCTTCCGACGTATCTTTATTCTATGGCCGAAGGTTGGCCTGATACGGAAGTAAAAAAAATAGAGTATTTTCGTTGGTTGTTCCCCAAATATGGGCAACTAGACAATATAAATTTCTTGCTTTCCTTTTACGGTTTTATGGTTATAGGGAGTGAAGGAAACAATTATGTTGTCCTCCGCTGCATACCAATTCATGCATATAATGTCAATATGTTTTTCTGTCATGTTTATTGTCATGAATTTTTTATCCGTCTGTAGAAGTATCAGGTTTATCATGACATAAGTTTCCCTAGCTCGTGGTAGAAAAACGAAAACCATAGGTTATCATAAGATTTCTCTAATTTTTATGGAGGATTGTAATGAGAGAACCTGAAATTTTAAGATATTGTCTGATAAATCTGCCCGAATGTTTTGCTCTCCCTCTGCCCCCTGGCTTGTACGCCTATGCCAGTTATGTAACCCTGGAGTTAACGTCTTGGCCGCCATACACGTTCGAAGATTGGGCACCTCCATAAAAATAAAATCTACAGGCCTGATCAACACAACATATGAAATTCTTAAACAAGGATCTCGCGGTAAAATTTGCATCATTGCGAAAGTTCTCTAGTCGTGTAAGCAGGTGAAAAGCAAATATATTCAAATATTGAAAACAAAAGTCCAATATATGGAGAAGTGGTTTTGAAATGGGCTTTCAAAGAATATAGATCTAATAAGATCTTGTTATACTCACGGAATACATACAAACTCACGAAAATCCAAACAGGAAAAACGCACAAATAAGATGTTTTTTTACCTTCGTAGGATCTGTACATAGGTACATTATATATTGAGTTATATTCTTCAAATGACATCATAGGCACAAGACAAGCATATGCATGGCACTCTATAAGTCAGTCGTACATGACTCTCTGTCTTGCTTGCAAGATAACTCTCGTCACCACCTCATCCTAATTATTCGCTTTCTTACACAAGCGTGTCTACATTACACCAAGCTTATAACAAATCGTATCTTTATTCCATGCTGATTATACCACGCTTGAAAGTGTGGGATGTCTATAGCCATGGAGAACTTGCATTATTCCATATATATTGCCTGTCTGGATTGTCAAAATAACCTTCCCATGCAATACGTTGGAGTATCCCTCAATTAAATCCCCTTTTATAGGTTTCGGGAATTTCTACACCTTGTTGTTAACTCACGCATCTGTTGGCCAATTTAAATATCCGGTTATCGTGCAGTTGTTATCGTGCTGATGTGATGTTGAATCTTGGGGTAGTCGTCTTATTTTAGCCTTGGTTAGCCGGCAACACTTTTCATGTGGGAAAAGGCATTCTGCTTCGCAGAGGCGGTATAAAGTTGATATAATACGTTGACCATCTTGTCTTTATTCCGCCCTACTCGCAAGAGATTTGATGTTTAACTGACAAGAACTTTCTTTCAATGTACAGGCCACACTACCAGCCGACTAAGAACACCCACCGATGATCAGATATCACAAGAGATATTCATTGATATTTATGCTTGGTTTTTATATGGTCGTAACGGTCGTAAATATTGAGCCACGATCTTTCTCAACAGCCGAAATACAACAGTTTAGAACTAAAAATAGGAAGAGTGATTATAAATAGAGGATACTTATGATTTATATGTGGTTTACAGATAGCAAAAAACTATTATCATGTGGTCGTTGAGAGAGATCGTGACTCTATCTTTACGACCGTTACAACCACACGAAAACCCAGCTTTACGAATAATTATGAGATAAATAATTTTTTTCTTTAAGCCTTAACATTCTTGATTTAAAAAAAAACTTTCCCAAATAACTATAACTCTAGTCAACAACTTAATAGTCGTGAGATTAGGCCGTATGTTTACCAGACCTTGACATGTATATTTTTCTTGGAAGCTTGGTTTGGGCTGTAAAAAAACTCGCACATGATATTGTAGAAGCATCGGATCGACTTTATCCTCGCGTAAAGCCTGCATGGTTAACACTATCAAAGTTTCTAGGATCACAGTAGGAACTGTGCATTGGTAATTTCTAAGTTCTGAAGGATTTGTAAGAAATGTTTAAGGGAACTGATTCAGTGTTAAACATTAAGTCAGTTCCCTTAAACATTTCTTACAATCCTTCAAAACCTAGAATTTATCTGATCACAAAAACTTTGATAGTAAACCAGACTTAACGTACTCAACTGGGTTGCATAATATGGCAACATTTTCATTTGTTATGTCATGTTAGTTGGTTCTTCTTAGTCTGCGTGGTATGCAGGTGCTCGTCGGTTACCCTGAGAGTGGAATTGAAAGTCCGTTCTTTTTGTATTCTTTCTGTACAGTACTGATCTATTTTAGGCAGGAGTATGTACTTATTCTACACGATCTAACCGTTTTCATGTCATTGTTTTAGTCTGTTGCCTGTCATGTGAATCGTTCTTCCTTATCGTTTGCGGGTTAGCCTGAGAGTGGAATTGAAAGTCCGTTCTTTTTGAATTCTTTCTGTACAGTACTGATCCGTTTTAGGCAGGAGTATGTACTTATTCTACATGATCTAACCGTTTTCATGTCATTGTTTTAGTCTGTTGCCTGTCATGTGAATCGTTCTTCCTTATCGTTTGCGGGTTAGCCTGAGAGTGGAATTGAAAGTCCGTTCTTTTTGTATTCTTTCTGTACAGTACTGATCCATTTTAGGCAGGAGTATGTACTTATTCTACATGATCTAACCGTTTTCATGTCATTTTAGTCTTTTGCCTGTCATGTGAGCCAGTTCTTCCTTATTGTTGGCGGAATCAGTTCTTCCTTATTGTTCGTGGCCCGGGTTAGGCTGAAAGTGAAATTAAATTATAAGTGATCCTGTGTTCTTTCTGTATAACATTGTTCCCATTTTAGCCAGGAATATGACTTCCTATGCATTATCTGACCGTATTTAAGTCTTTGTGTTCAGCTAGCTGCATGCGTGGCAGTAGGCAAGCGTTGTCCACATGTGTGCACTTAATCGCTGATCTGATTCTATACATACACCAGTCCACCTCCGCGAGTATATCAATTGCTCAGCTGCTTATTAAAGCGACAATTAGACAAAACTCTTTCTTCTGCCTTCAGACTCCTACGCTCACGAGGCCGGAACTAAATATGCATATATGTGTCTTCATTGTTAGCATTGTGCTCATTCAATGACTGTCACTACACAACGACACACCATCCATTTCCTCTTACAAAGTTCAATATTTCAAATTTGACACTTTAGTTTCGTTCGATAATCCGCGCGTGGAAAGTACAAATGGATTTTTAATAAGAAGATAAGTAGAAAGCACAATTTGCTAATATGAGTAAGTTTTCAATCATTTTTATTTCTTTGTTTAAAAGTTTGTTTATTGTGTGGAATTATATATTGTATATATTTGACTCAATACGGAAAACGTCGCCTTCGGTATTATATAGTTGTTCGGATTTCGAGATTTTATGTGTGTGGTCTGTAGTGTTTTGTATACAATTGTCACATAATGTCTAAGTACTAAAAGTCTATATATATTTTCAGCTTTTCAAGCTTACCCTAAGGCTGACAGCTTCAGCATTTCAACAATTCGTTTGTAGTTTTGTCTTCAAAATATTTTAGATTCAATCTTTACCACTTTAGTTTCTCTCTTTGACACTTTGTGTAGAAATACAGTAATACTACTATAAGTGAAGGATTCGGACCGCACAATATTATTACTGGACCAGATTTTTAATCTCAGTTTAATAAACCATGAAATATGCTGTTGTGATTCTAAAGTTTCAACATTCATGAATTTTTAATTTCAGTGTTCCAATTTAATGAAATATGTTTCATGATTTTGTGCCCGTATATAAGAGGTCTCGCATGCCTAGATTATATTTCAAAACAAATCCTTTGCTAATCCTATTATCCTAAAATCCGATCACAACATAAACCTCGTACATGAAATACCGCTTTGATCGAATATTCGAATATATATACTGTCATGGCTTCTGTCTGATTTACGTGAAAAGGTTTTTAAAAACACCAGGACTTTTCAACGCTCCACTTTCCCTATGACGCATATACTCGAATGTTTTCTGCAATGTCAGAATAATGTGAATGATTGTCCTCACGTAGTTCAGACAAAGTCCATGCTCATCAGAGCATAGCAATAATAAGAAAGCTTCAGATTGATGGGATGCAACTACATGAAAAATACAAGGAGATCTCAGTTCGACGTTTCGAGCGAAGGCCAACTTCCCCATGAATGTCGAAGTTCTTGTATTTTTCATGTAGTTGTATTCCTACCAATCCCTACCTTTCTTAGTATTAATACCACTACATACACTGACACAGACTGTTCAATATCATAGCAATAATCCTCTACCTTTCTACACAGTAAATTTCAAATCTTTTTGTCTCTATTCCAGGTTCCGATGTGGCTCTAACTGCGTTGACCGTCGCTCTATCCGTGGCGACGTTACTGGCATGTCTTGTCCTCGCTGTCATCTTTTATATTCTTCGCCGAAAGCGCCACAACAAGCTGACGGTCACAAAACCTTTATTAAAAACAACTCCAATACCTATGAGCTCTGGCCTGCTTAAACTAAGAACAGACTACAGCGAACGATTCTATTCCGACTCCGAAGACTCCGGCGCTGTTATAAACCGCTGGAATGGCCACCACACTGATGATAGCATAGGGGACGATTTATCTGACTGTGAGTACACAGGCCGTCGAAGTAGTTCGATTCTCTCCGTTTCTTCAAGTGATAACTGGTTGTTGAGTAGCTACGAAGATGCAGCCAACGAAATCCGCACTCCCGGGAGTTCCGCATCGAATAGTCCGAACATTAGCGCACGACTCTGTTTTTTAAACTTATCTGTGAAGTACAACTTCCATCAAGAATCTTTGGACGTTGTTATTATCAACATTACAGGTCCTCCAAAGCAGAAGAGTGGCTCGAAAGGTTTATTTATCATCGCACAGCTGTTTGTGACGAATGAAAACGGTGAAGATGAAGACTTTAATACCATGAATAAAACAGAAGTGAAGAACTATTCCTCAAATGTCTTATTCAACGAAGAATTTAAATTCGAAGCGTTACAAAGCTACCAATTGCAAGCGATTTCAATTCGCCTCTCATTATGCTCGCATGATAGATTCAGCCGTGTTCAGCGGCTCGGAGAATTCATTGTAAATTTAAATGAAGTAACGTTTGATCCAGCCCAGCCGTTGGTTTTGCAGCGTCGTCTATCGCAGGTACGAAGCGAGATTATTACATACATTTATGTTACTGCATGAGCGTTTAACCTCAGCTAAAATTTAACCCACTGTTTTGGTTTGCGTATTTCTGCACGTCTGATTATTTCAAAACTTGAGAGAAGTAAACTATCGTCCAGACAAGCTGTCAGAATTTAAAGTTTGTTTGTACACTGCAACCAGGTATATCAATCATGTTTCGAACAGCCCCCCCCCCCCCCCC